AAAAGATCTGACCAACAATCCACTAGGATAGACTGATCCGTTTATCCATAAACATTTCTACCTGTACCACCCAAATGATTGATGTTGATCACGAAAAATTTGGGGTTACCCGAGACTAAATTAGAAGATCCTGCATGTTCCGAATGCTGAAAGTTGCCTGGATAAGATAAAAGCTTGTATTACCGTGACCTCACTTAATATTCGCTAGTGAACGAGGTAGTCACTTATATGATGCTAAGTTATTTGAATACCGAATTCAGAATCCAAAACGTAAATACACGTGCGATTTGTGCAGAAATTAAAGGGAAAAGACCAAACATGTTATATGTGACAGACGTTCACCGGGTTTGTACTAGGTTTATGAAATACCCAAACCATGTTCACCTGAAAATTGTGAATGCGAATTAAGCCTTTATGAAACAGTGGCACCGGAGTCAAATAAACCAGGGATCTGATGAATGGAATTTAAATCTTTATAACAGGCAGCAGTTAACAGGTGCTTACAAGTTTAAGCATGAAGCAAACTCCCTTCCAGGGATGTTACATGATTTCGACTTTTAAGAGTCAGAGTAAGGCTCTCATTTACTTCGGTGCATGTAATGTACAAATATATATGTACATAAAACTTTAAACAACCGTCACATATAACCAGGCACTACTGGGCTTCAAAGTAAATTACCTGTCGTGTTCAGATACTTTTCTTTGTTTTTGCACTCCATTCGCTTATCCTACTCACACTTACATTTAACACTCGTTGGCCAGTCTTGCGATCTTGCAATTAATTGATGGGAATTCGAAAGTCTATCGATGAACTTGTATTTCGCGTATATGCAGACAGTTTTCCCATATCTACGTTTCGGTGTTGCTCTGGTCTGCTGTGTTTGCGGGATAGAAAAATGGGCGTTGCGTGGTACCGATGTCGTTGCATGCTACCGCTTCTGCACAGTTCTGGACTGAATATGTTGTTACCGCAAATATGGAATGCTGAGAAGGCTGGAAAATTAGTTTTCTGATTGTATTTCTGTGCTACTAGTCCTCAATCCATCGGTAATGTTGAAAACGGAGGATACTTATAGGCTTCTGTGCTTGCACCTCAGCTCAGAAGGTCGAGGTATATTTGAGGCTATAATACTGCGGGAGAAACCCACATTGACAGGAGCGGTATGGGCTCTCGATAAACAAAGGGGTGTTCGAGTGAACACATATAATTCCTCGTACTAATTTTCGTAGCTAAAACAAGCATCTGGTGAAACATTGGATGCATTCATGTCCCACCTTTTTTGTTCCGATCGAAAGTGTGAATACGATAATATTCCCAAGATAAATGTGGAAGAAACTATGTTATTACAACAATTGAGTTCTGGCCTCGCCGGTTCTGGGATCAGAATATATCTTCTAATTCTAAAGGCAGAAAAGCTCACATGGGACAGGGCCTGCGACGTGGCTCAAGCGTACGTTGCAGTCACGGACAAAACAAAACTTTCCTATCTAACGCATCAGATAGTGAACTAGACACTTTGAATTCTACACGCTCGCTGACGCGATCCTCGGTTAGAAATAAGTGTTACCGTTGTGAAAATACTGAACATCGTGCAAAGGATAAGTCATGTATTGCAAAGAGTGAAATCTGCCGGAATTGCGGTAAGACCGACCATTTTGCTCCGGTTTTTCTTTCCCGCGTCATTTCTTCATTTTACTCTAGAAGTGAGTCCAGCGGTTCTCCCGTCACCACTGAATAATTTATATATGTTGTCAATGATTGCGAACATCCACTTTCGTCTCCAACTCAAGAACCCAAGCTGCCTTCGCCAGATATTCTTCATGTGCATTTTGAAGTTAGAAACAAAACCATTTGTCTAGATATGGAACTAGAATCCGCATCACCAATCACAGTTGTGCCATATTGTTTTTACAAACAGCATTTTGGTCAGCTAACTGTACATACTTCCGCTTATAATTTCAGCAGCCATGCCAGTGGTGATGTCCACACACTCGGTTTTGTTACGGTTTCAATGTTGCTTATAAAGAGCAGGAAGCATATAGTTGCAATTTACATCTCTAAAACTGTTAGTAAGCCTCTGTTGGGACGTAATGCCATGGTCTTATTGAACGTATCACCATGCGTCAGCCGGCTGAATATTGCCGGTGTCAACATTCATTCGTTATGTTCCAGTTACCATAATCTCGCACTTCCGAATATTGGTACATTCCCAAAAGCAATGTACCGCATTCGGTTGTGCGCGGATTACATACCGTTCAGCATTTCACAACTTAAGCCTGTACCTCAGGCCAAGCGAGAAGCGTTGTCGTAAGCTTTTAAAAGTGTGGTCACGGAAGACTTGATAGTACCCATACAGTGTTCTGAATGTGTTCATCCACTAGTTGCCACTTAAAAAATTGATGGCAATATTCATGTATGCACCGATATTCGTGCGCTTAATCGGCATATATTTGTGAACAAATTCTCTCTGCCTTCTCTTGAAGAGTTGTTGGTTAGGTTCCTAAATGCCAAACTTTTCTCGAATCTGGATATTCGCAGTGCATGCTATCACAAGTCACTGACTACAGCTCGACGACATATGACTGCTTTCATCATGCAAGCCGGTTTGTATCAATACAAAGTGCAACCAGTTGGCATCAGTAGTTCCTCAGCAGGTTATTCGAGTGCTATCAGATCTCACGATGTGTTGTGTATATGAACGATATTTGTGTCTTTGTTAGTAACCCCACCGAATATCACGAACAATTCATAACGTGTTGCAGAGACTGAATGAAAAAAGGCTCCGCTTGAATACCAGCAAATGCAAATTTGCTGTAACGGAGGTCGAGTTTAATGCACATGTTATTGCTTCCTCGGGTAGTAAGCCTAATGTGTGAAACAACAGAAATATTCGATTGTCTAAAACTATGCAATGTTACACGGATAAAAGATTTTTTGCTTTGTGTTCTTATTACCTTCGGCGTTTACAGAATATTGCGACTGTTGCTAAACCGTTGCGGTTGACGCGCAAAAACCAGGAGTTGTATTGGGCCACTAAACAAAAAATACTTACATGACTATACGAGGGATAATTGAACGCACTCCCAGATAAACGATCTTCAATGAGCACTGTCCAATGTTTGTGTCAACGGATGCTTCAGATTTTGTCTTCTGTGCAGTTCTGTCCCAGCTGCCCGATGGTGAGAAAAAGGTGATTGTGCACGCATCGAGTAAGTAATCTGATATTGAAAGAAATTATACCACTGGCGAGAAGGAGGCCCTCGCATGCGTCTGGGAGTGTGCGAAGTGGCACTTTTATTTATTCGGGCGTCGATTCACTTTGCACACCGATCATTTTGTTCTTACCACTTTAGTAAGTCACGGTAACGAATGTTAAAAGCCGGTACGCTTGAGTCGATGGTACTCACGTTCATTAAAATATGATTAAGAAATAAAATACTTACTAGGGTGCTTTACCAAACTTGTAAATGTCTTGCCGAGACTCCCACGGTTCAATGAAGATGAAAACGGGGCTTTAGAGGACGTACAACGAATATCGCGGCTTTCAGATGGAACACCTACAAGAACATTTGGTCAGCTACGGGAGCACGTTGACAAAGTCCTTGTCCTAGCGGAGATTCGGGGGTACATATCCACTTCATGGCCCAGTCGTACAAATATCCAATCTGTGTTACTTACATACTCTACCCTACAGCATGAGCTTTCTACTGTGAGTATCTGTATTATTAGAGGCGAGCAGATTGTGGTACCTACAACCCTCATTCTTCTGGTGATTGCATGTGCGCATGCAATTTTCCATGGGTTTGGTGAAGGAAACCTCGGATACGACAATATTATTTGGGACCGAATTTGAATTCCAGCGTAGAGGCGCTTATTCGACATCCTTACGCCTGCTAACAAACAGATAAAATTGCGAGGCCCCTGAATTCTCCAGTCCAAATTATCGTGTACCCAATGAAGCCATGAGCAAAAGTTGCTCATCGGCTTTCGGAATAATCCTGGGATGACACGTTAGTATCTGCATTGGGGGTACACAGAACCAGTTACAATAATGCAACCGCAATGACCCCCCTTTGGAGATAATGCTAGGGCAAACAATTAGAACTAGATTAAACGTAGCTTTTACATGCGGAGAAACCGCTGATCACAGAGAATATGAAGGACGGGATGAGTATCTGGCTAAATATAGACGCATTGGGAGAACGCAACCTCCAGGGGCTTTGTTCGTGTGAGAATACCCCATTCCTGGAAAGGATATAATGTTGCCGGATTTCCGACCCATGTGGAATCAGTGTGCACGCCAGGAAATTATAAGTAGGCTGATGGGACAAAGGTGAATGCAAGGCGACTGCGTACAGAGTAGTTTCAACTTCTTATTGAAAAGCCGAACATGCCTACAGCACAGCGCTCAATACAATCTGATACGTTCCAGTTAGATACTCCGCCCTGTCTACCGATACGTTTTAACGGATAACAACACAGAACAATTCTTCGTGGTGTTGACTTGGTGCTGACCGTTCATGGACATGTATTGCGTATATTTTACGGACAGAGAAGAGGACAATGTCGTGTTCAAATGCTTTACTTTGTTTTTGCTCTCGGTTCGCTTATTCTACTCACACTTATATTTAGCACTCGTTGGCCCGTCATGTGATTTGCATTTGCTTCATTGCAATGTGAATGTCTATCGATTTAATTGTGACGCGCCTATGTGCAGACAGTTTTTCCATACATACCTCCGGGTGCTGCTGTGGTCTGTTGCTTTTCGGGATACAAAATTACGTTCCCCACATTGCTAAATTGAGACGTCAGAGCATTGTACTCAATCCGAAAGTGCATGACGACCGTCTTACAACAATCCGGATCATCAACAGCACGATTTCCTATCAAATACTATGAAATTCGATTTCAAGATCAACAATTTTCAAAGCAGTCAAATGAATTACCGGCTAACAAATAATAGGATAATATTTAAACCGAAGTATTTGGACGAATAATTCGTTAATCCTGCTTTGTTTAAGAAAACTTACATAACCGCTTTGGAAACGTTACAACGAAGCTGAAGCGTAAGTTTGCTAATCTCTTTGGAATTTAGCAAAGATAACATTACAATTATTTCGCTCAAGTAGTTTAGTTAATAAGCTAACCTTATTTTCAGCAACTTTTTTGCATTCCCGCCTACTGTTTTTGGTTATTATATGTTGAAACTAATGAGAGATATAAAACTTTTGTTGCATTGTCCCAGCATATTATGTTGGCAAAAGTGTCTTAAGCGGCCTTGTTGTCACCATTAATTAGCGAAAATCCTGGCTGCACTTTATGTACGATGTCACAATGTGCACTAACCTGTTTTATGTCCGTATATATGTGACATTTTGTATTATGAACTGAAATAGTAAACTTATATTGGAAGCAAATTTCACAGTCATTCAATCGAATGGGGGCCTAAAGCAAAAGCCTTTCCTGTAGCCTCAGCGATAAATATTATATTGCATTAAAAGCCAGGTAGAGGGAGGGATATCACGGTTATTTGAAACCCTGTGGTAATTAAACTGAATAAGTAGGGTCTACAGACTAATTAACTAATGTGACTCTTTCAACAAGGTGAGACGAAAGGCGATAATCAACTGAGTGAAATTAACGCAGCTATTAGCAGAAAGTTAGGTTGTGTACAGCCGGTCTGTAGTGTTTTCGGGAGGGCGCTAGACAATACAAGGTTCACAAGTACGATTTGCTAAAGTAAAGGTGGCATGCCTTTGACCATAATAGACCCAAATGATATTTTTGTTCTTAATGATGAAATTATATCTAGTGAACAAGCCTATTCATTTAACTCACTTAGTTACCATCAAACATCGAAAGAAAAATAAGTTAATGGCTGATATAGCTCTGCTTTCCATGGAGAAGAGAGACGTCATTTCGATCACTGCAAGTTTTATGCGACGGTTGCTGGAACTCATATACTGACGTAGTCTAGCTGGATTAAACTTAGTACCGGGACGTTCTCAAATGACCTTATTATAAAACAAAATCCAGTCCCCGACTTTTATTGGCAAAATCTAGAGTTGTTCAGATTAATTAGGAGCAGGTTTCTACGAATAAGATCTGACTTGGAACTTATCGAAACCGCCTCTAAATGCAACAGTGGATGGCAATTGCATTGCGGATGCATAGTTTGCAAACGGCAATAAATCGACAGTACGAATGTGAATAAGGCTTGCTTCTCCGCATGAAGAAATATGTGGATAATCGTTATCCATGAATAAACTAGTCCTCTGTAATCCATAGCAATGCATTCTCTTTAGACTTGTGTAAACCAATACCACATTGTCGCCAGGCAAACAAATAATCAATGCTCCGTTGCTCGACATTTTTCCTCTTGGAGGTTAAATGTTTGGTCTAAAACAAGAATTTTCTGTCCAAGACGGTATCCTTCTGTTGGCAGGCCAGTTAATCAGCTCCATGATACAGAATTGAGAATTTCGACTGCAGATATCCCGAATACGTGTAAATGCTATTTTGATACAATTACAAAGAAATGCGTTGGCAACCATCCACGAACACTGGTTTTGGAAATTGCTGAACAACAGTGCATATTTTGTGATTTGCTAATCAACTTTTACTAATTTATTGTGAACCCTCATAGCATATTACTTGAAAATGCGGGTGTCTATCAAGACCGATTTTGGAGCTAGAAGAACAACAAGCCCTTCATGCTTATGTCCGCCAAGCATAAACCACTTATTTAAGGAAATGCTCATTTTTATCATCTGCTTAGCCTTTAAATGTGATCCCGAGCAGGTATTGTTGAGCAGGTCGTGCAGCTGGATGTCATCAGGTGTGATAAGGCTTTCCGGACTGTATTTCCAGATTGAAGGTAGCATTTCGCTAAGAAATGCATTCCAATGCCTGTCAACCTAACAGATCCTTGAATGCAGAGTTTTACTGTTGTATCCTGAGAAGCACATTATGTAGGAGTTGCAGATAAGCGACATCTGCCACGCTCGACACAGAAAACCGCCGCAATGTTAGGTGCTTGCATTATTTCGTCCATCCAGTGGCGAGCGACTGCGTTTGTAACATGTACAGAATTTATCATTGTCGATTGTCTCTAAACGTAGTTCAAAACTATTTCGCTTCCTATATCTAGCGAACATGGAAGTAATTAGTTTGCTAGCGTAGGTGGACCAGATACCGAAATAGTTTCCAGGTGGCAGCATGCAATAATTCAACTCAACCACCGTCTTTTAGCCAATTTTTTCACAGTGTTATAGGTGAAAGTTGCTACTGATTTAAACCCAGATATAATCAAAAGAAAGTAACCTATTAAAGGATTCCATCGCATGAATTTCCTCTTACTTCTAGCATCTAGCCAATCTAGCCAGTGGATGGATATGCTCCCAACCGTTTCTCCGAAAGCACATGATCCCAGCAACATATTTGCCGATTTACGAATTCCTCCACAACGCATTATACTGAAACGCTTGGTGATGAAAGGTAAGTTTCCGTCATACATAGATTGCTGCACAATCGTTTTATAGAAATTATGTAATAATGCATGTGTCCCGTCCCGGTATGGCAAAAAGGAAATAGTATATCTGACAGAACTTCCTTCTGCTTTTGGCAAAATCACATAATCTCAATCAACCAACGAACCCATGAGGTCAAATTCAAGTTACCTGTGTTCGATCATACACAGCGATGCATGCGTATTGCGGCAAGATGCATCCGTTCTCGGTTGAATCTCTGCTCACTTGACACTAACTGAATAGACCAGGGGTGTCCAACATTCATGCCAGGAGGGCCAAATTTTGTGAGATAACAAAATTTATCGAGCCATATTCTGTCTGTCTTGAAGATAATAACAAAAGGTACAAATATACGAACAATGTCAAAGCCTGCATTTATTATTTCACGTTGAGGCGGTAGGCCAGCTGAAATAATAACGTGGGCCGCAGTTCGCCTGCCAGCCGGAATTTGCACAGCATTGGACTGGACGAGTTCAGTCTGAGGACTCTTAAACCGTGTCGATGTTAAGGACTGCTAATATATTAAAAGGGTAATTGAGTTAACCCAGAATTTTATCCTACTGCTGCGCATATATTATATACGTCTTAGCATATATTGCATACATTTTCGCAGCATGTATACATAAGACGTAATTCGACACACAGCTAGTACTACGGCGCAAAATTGTGCGAACAGGTTAACGGGATTCATAGTAGGTACGCTTACTCAGAAAATCACTTCATGTCGAGAAAGATACATTGGAGGTTACTCACAGGTACTCGCTACAAAAATGCAACAATTAATGCATCTAATACACAGCACTCTTGAGACCAAATAATAAAGACAAGCTGTCATAAGTTTTTCCGCAGTCGCTGTGTTTAACCATCTCGAGCGTTCGCATCACTCACTGGTATTAAGAAGCGTTAGCTGCAAAGCAAGATGCGTCAACTAACAATATTCAAAATCTATCAGCAATGAATAATATACAGTAAAAGCAAGCATACAAACTTCACTCTCCTCCGATGTAATCAGTCATGAGGAATGCCAGGTTCCAAATGCTACCATTGCAAGAGATTCCGTTTTCGACGCTTATGCATGCTGATGAATATTTGAAAGTATTAGGTGGATTTACTAGGTTTTCGTGTAGATTCGTTGCTGTGAGACACAGACAGACAGCCACCACACATCCAGGAAAGTGCTAGACGACAATTTAGTTCTATTGGGACTCGTCAATAGCTCGCACCTGCTGAATCTCGCCGGATTCGAACCCACGACCTTACTCTTATGAGTCAACAACTTATGCCACTGAGACATGGGCAACGGCAGCGGACCGCCATGACTGATATCCAACTGCGATATAGCGCGGCTCATCCTCCACTGTCTTGCATGTTGGGATGACAGTACATATGGAACTGAATTAGTTTACGCATCATTCGGCAGCTGAAAAACACTGAGGGAGGAAACGATGCATACATAAGTACCATCAAACACATACTGCAAACTATTTTCACATCATCATAATACATTAAGGTTTGTGCTAATTTTACAAAGCTAAATGTACCTTTCTGTCTTCATGATTACGGTGCAGTGGGCGAAAACTTTGTGGCTGGAATAACCGCGGTTCTACCCAACAGACAAAAAGCAAATTGGAAACCTAAGACCCACAAATAACTAAAGCGAATTGCAATTGAATCCATAAATAATTGCTGGAGGTTAGTTTAACTGGTATGAAGACGTCTACTTCCGAAACACATAGTAGGCCTACAATATAGGGTTAGGTATTAAAGATGTTTACTTATTGCTATTAAATAAAATGAATATACAAAATGAGGAATAAACACAATAAGAAATTCATTGCATTCAACTTCGGATCACTGTGGTATGTATTCTAATCAGCGTAGTTGCGAATGTGAGGTTAAGCCAATTTATTAGGTGCCGCCACCATCGTGAGTTCTTACCTTATCAGCCGGTCTAGTATGGAAGGTGTAGCTTGATCCGAACATGTTTCAAGTACGTAATGACTTTGCTGTATGAACTTTTAAGTCAGCATTTAGTAGCTTCTACCTATTTCAGTCAAAATCGGAAATGCATTCATCTGGTGTAAATTGCCGCAATGGAAAATTTTCTATACGGGGTTTCCTTACATTACCATACACATGAAAAGTTTTAGATGAATTGCTACCAAACAGCTTGTTTAGTTCGTAGATTCTAACTAAATCCACCAATCATAATGTTATAGTCGTTTAAAGACTCATCAAAACAATCATTGAAGATGTATAGTAAAAGCGCTTGCTTACCTAAACATAGTTGTTTTACTGTGAAGTGTGCTAGAATTTAAACTTAAGGATTAATTAGTTTGCTTCCGCTTCATCGCCAATAACCATAAACTTTCTTCCAAATAGATGATTTCGAAATAATCCACCCATCCTTTTCTACACAGGCACATTCGGAAGGCTATATGAAGCGAAATTGCGGGTGCGGACACGAAGAAACTCCCGACAATTCGTCAGATGGAAAACAGTGTTTGTGAAGACAGTTTCAGGTAAATTAGAGGGGCACCTCTTTACCAGTCTGTGGTCCTAATCAGACAGTCGGTTTGCCACTTGCATGAGGCTAAGTGCTGGTGTTTATTCGTGGTTTTTAACTATCCACCACATAGAAAGCGAAGGTTTTATCCTGCGAGTGATCGTTATGTCTAGTTTGCCGATAAATATCACCCCAATTTCGTTGCGCAATTATGGTGGAAATGTAGGATAACCGCATTGCAGTGTCTGTTTAATATTTAGGTATTGCGCATTTGTGGTTAATGATACCCATCCAGGTAATCTATATTACCACGCAAATTTCGAAACAAATGTTTGCCACTTTATTTCATCAACCTGTGTATGATTGAAGTGAAACCTTGAAAAGCATAACTTTCCTCGTTGATCTTCCAGTCGCGCTGAAAGCAGCTCATCTTGTTGTCCAATGTACAGGATTGCATTGGGCTATGTGACGACAATTGCGCCTTAGTGAGAAAACTTCTTGACGAAATATCGCGCCAATGTTAATAGTGTAGCATAGCTGGCAGACTGGGATGTTCAGACAGAGTCAGGAAGTCAGGAAGTAAGAGTTCCGGTGTCGAGTACTTTGGTTTTAAAAGTGGCTTTCAGACTAGTTCAGATAATTATCATGTAACTTTGTTTATAATCATAACTGTGGCATCTGTAGCAGTTTTGCTTCTAACTAAATCTAGTTTTTCAACTATATATGTAGGTTCCAGTCCATTTGCAACGTTGTAATCTCACTCGCCATTTTGCTTAAGCTTTCTGCACCTGCGCAAAGTTATCCCGACTTCAAATAGTACCCCTGATACCAATAATATTTAGGCATCTGTCACCATGCACTTCGCTTTAATTTTTAGTAACAACAAGCATATCGACTCTAACTGATTTGTAGTTGACGCCATTAAAATTATAATGGTTTTTCTAGGATTCAAATGTGTCACACTAAGTGAAGCGATCAACCATTTCTGCAGTGCAGGAACAAAATATCTTTGTTTAATCAATAGATTCATGTTCCTGATTTTGAAGATTATAGCATTTTTGCACTGCTCTATACACGGAATTTCAGCATACGCTACCCATGAACAAATCGAGGTTTTTCTTAAAGATGCCAGTAAATTGGCCAGTATTCGGAACAGAAGGATTACTTCCGTGATTGCAACCACTCAACAGGATTCCGCGCTCAACGGTGCCATCAGTAGAGTAATTCCTTGGCTCGTTTATCCGCACGCTGAATTAGGGAACCTAAAGCATTTTCTTCGGACCCCTACCAGATCGTCGAATGAGAACATGAGCACTAAGGTAAGTCAATGGTTTGAGAACAAATTGCATTAGAAATGTTACATAAATATATTACATAGTTTGAACGAAACCTTTTTTACTTACAATTAGTATTCCCTAAGGCCCCCAATCTAGCATATAGCTGGCATTGATCAAACATTTGGAACACCGGAGGGTGTTCAAACTTAATTTAAGTAATTATGGCTTGCCAAAATAAAGCTTACACAGCTATGAGAGGAAACCATGCAGCCGATTCTTTAATTGCATAAATTATTTAACCATAGTCATCTGCTTGGAATCTCGAATTAAAATAGTGCTTAAAATCTGCTAAAAGTTTTCCAATCTTATTACTACACCCAAGCACATGCAACTGGCTTGGAAGCATGACTTACGACAGACTCAACCTTTTATTTACACAGAAGTTTTTTCTTGTTATATCAACTGGCAAAAGGAAACGTCATTTTAATAAGTGTATACAAGACCCCAGTGATAACCTCACCGTCGTATCAAGATGAAGTGCACAATCAAACAAGTAACATGGTCTTCTAAAAGGTCAAAATCTAACCAATAGATTACGTAACGCTCTGTTGCATTTGTGAACCATCATGCATCAATGAGGGCAGCTTAACTGACTCGCTGAGAAAATGGCACCATTTTGTCATGCACTGATAGAAGGCAATATCTTTACATTTCGATAACATTGCCCCATCGGACTATTGTTCTAAATGAACAAAGGCACTCGCGCAGACTGACGATTTCAAGCCAAATCGATTTTCTACTGAAATAAGGTATGGATGTGATGTTCAAACAGCATCAAGGCAGAGTATGATATTTTCATAATAGTAATTTTAGGAATTACAAAGAACGAACACATCGAATTCCGAAGTTCGCAGTTTGGCATTCGTAGTTTTCTCATATCTTTCTTATAGAGCATGGGGAATGGCATTAGACCAGCAACTCGGTGAGTCATTGCAGGTGATTAGCAGGAAAATCAGCTGTCCTAAATCAACAAGGATAATGCTTCCTATTAAGTTATCAAACCTTCGTGAACCGAACAATCAACTCGAATGGCAGCCGGAAATCTTTACTTAAAAAACCAGGTACAGGTAATACCAACAATTTGTCCTTAAGGAAATTTGCACTCCCCATACGGTAGTCTTGCTTTTGAAAAGAACCAAATACCCACCATATATATGTATTATTATGTACTTCATTGATTATGAAGTATTAGTTCACGATAATGTCATACATTTGTACGCGCGATAACTTTCTTCTTCCGACAGAGAATATCCCGAAGAATATCCGGCAGCTCATTATCAACAGTGCAATTTGCAGCAGTTGCTGCACATTATCTTACCTCATAAATATCTAGAAAAATATTCCCATTTGTCGTGTTCAGCCTTACTTTCCCAGCTCATTTCACTTGTACATAAATGACAAAATCAGCTTTAACATTTTGTCGTTTCAGGGATTGACAGCTGATCAAATTGTTATATTGGGGTTACAGATAGTACAAGCCGTCGAGTACCTTCATCACAACGGTATTGTTCATGGTGACGTGGCTACCAGAAATTGCCTGTAAGTGGATATTTTATTGATCCCTACATCGACTTAATTAGCCTAAACTGGACATTGACATCTGAGTTGCGGAAAGATTGCTAGAAATCACGCATGTTTTTGATATTTTATAGGCTAAGCTAGTAGGTTTGGTTCACGTACGCATTTAACAAATAACGGTTGTCAAGTGGAATTAGCCTATCCGATTGGCCTATACGTGATTCAATGTAAGCTGCTATTGAACTCTTCCGAAACTAGAGACACTGTGTGCAATCCCTCTCTTCGGCTCCTGTAAAGGCAGGATGCGATAAGTAATGGTGCCAATCACTTCAGTGAGACAATTGCCTCGAGAACTTTCCTGATGACATCAGTCACAATGCTGTTGATGTCGTTGGGATGAAATTGAGGATACTGAAGCAGTGTGTAGATCCACCATTAAGTACTTAAATAAACTTGAGATCATTAAACGTAGCTTCATTTGCAACTCATATCAGTTCCGCTGCTTCTAGGAAGGCATTATCCCTTAGCATAGTTTAAAATGGTAAACTGCAGCACTTATTTATTGCGGTTTGATTGTTTTATGTGAAAATATTATGGTTAAATATTTGAAAATCCTGTCTGAAAATTCAGGGGTGAATGACGAAGGGTGGTGAGAGAAATGTATACCATGTAGCAATAATAATGTTTCACTTCAAAATAGTGGAATATCTTCCGTGCCGCTCGAGAAACCATGCGTTTTGAGAGATTCAGTGCCACAAATGTACTAACCGATTTCACCAAATGTCATTACCTTTATCTCGTCTATCCGCACGGTTTTTTGACAAACCTCTTCATCACAAGCGCGCCAAAATTTATCCTTCAGCAGTTGCATCCTGACGGTTAGGGTAGGGATAACTCCATACAAATCTTAGTAGGCATTATTACGAGAATCCTTGTGTGGTTTCGGCACCTGAGATTTTTTCAACTTGTATGTTGCCATTCTGACTACATGGAAGTAGATTTGCTCTAATGTGTGACAGGTATGCATTAGGCATGGATTCAATGGATGTTCCTCAAAAATATCAAAATTTTCCCTACTGGATTGGCTGCAAATAATCAGATAGCAGCATACAGAGGGACCCACTGTTTAAATTCACCAATGGATGTGCCGAATAATCATTGAGATTGATATCAGCAAGTATTTCAATGGGAAGACTGATGCACTATCCCAACAAAAGCGGCTGTAAAACCGCTAACACTAAAACTTACTTGAGCGACCTGGCAATAATGTGCTAGCGTAGGTTAAGGGGAGTTAGGCCTTATTAATTTTAGACTACAATTATAAATGTATAATCAAATAATTACCTCGTATGCTGAAATAACCTTTGCTACGCAATATCTAAATATGATCAAGTTTGTAAAAGAAGCACTGCTTTGTCTAGCAGGTAAACATTTTATTGGGACTATGGGATCCATTTCCAGAGAAGGAACATCAGTAACGTTCTTGTCATTACTTCCAGATTCGATTGTGTTTAAAACATTTTTCTGTTTAACCACCGTCTCAGACTCCGAAGTCAAGTCTGTGTTACACTGTGTGACTCGGCGTTGAGTCGGGACTTTTTCCCCGAAGATTACCAATGCCTTGGAGATAATACGAATCGTCCCATCAAGTGGTTGGCTCTTGAAGCACTGGTGGGAAGGACGTTCTCAAGAGCCACTGACGTTTGGTCTGTTGGAGTTACTCTGTGGGAGCTAGTCACCAAGGGTCAGCAACCATACTCTTTGTTCGATCCATTTGAAATGCCCAATATTTTGCGGTCTGGCTATCGTCTTGAGCAACCCAGCAACTGTCCTGAGGAAATGTGAGCCGAGACTATTACTTAGTACCTGTCAAGTTAGATACTTCTGAGCAAATATTCTGCAATATGTCGCTGCAAGTTACCTCAAAGTAAAATAACTATTTCAAAAAGAGATTAATTTTACAGTTTGTGGTTGATGTGCATTAAGTTGTCAAACACATGTTTTCGGTGTAAAAATAAAATATCCTTACCATACAGATATTGTGAACAAGCAATATTTACCTAAATGCTAGTTTTTAGTGGCCGTATGTAAACACAACTTAGAAATTCTCCTTAAAACAGCCATTCGGTAAGCAACGCTTTATTCTTAGTGTAAATTTTGTGTACTTTGGCTGATTATCCTTAAGAGCGTTCTCTAGCACATTATGTGTTAAATGTAACCGACAGGTACGCAGTGAACCACAATGAAAATTATTCTTGCTAACTAGTCAAAAAGCGCATTTACTTGCTGTGATATTATCAGTCGTCATAGAATTTTCTGCGATGAATTAACTTACAGAAGCAGGATTTTAAGATAAACTAGATGGTTTTCGGCCATAAAAATGCAAGCTCAGACTTTACCCCGTCGCTTATCTGGTAAACTATGAGCATCCCATCATAAACATTACACCCGAATAAGTATTTTTTATTGCACTCTGTGTATCAAGCATGCTTGCCTTGGACGATTCATTGATAATATAAATTCGCACTTAATTCCGGATTATCGTTTAAAATAACATTTGTAGTGTGAAATGCAAATGCGTAAACAGTGCGTATACGGATTCGGCATGCACGCGGCGAATTTGCTCACACCATTTCCGCTTTTGCTCTCTAACGCTAGGCGATAGAAAGTCTAGACTATCAACAAGCTGATCCATGCATGGCTTCATTGTGCAACTTTGTACGCGTGCAGTGCCATGTGGCACCTCTTTAAAATATAACCAAATGTTAACTGGAAACATCGTTTGAAGGTATAATATACATCAAATTAACTATAGCTGGAACATGAGCAGACTGTATTGCACTACCAATCGACAGTACACCAAGCATATATTACCCGCAAGGTAATTGGATCTGTTTGAAAATCGAAGCAGTTTCTGTGCTGGATAAATCATATTTCGACCAAAAGTATTATCAGCTTTTTTCTGTATTGCATCTTGCTGTTTGATTAGACGCCCTGATAAGTCTATGGTTTTATAATTAGAAACTTTGTGGCGATGAATAGGTAGAAGGTAATTGTACCTCAATGCAATTTGGACGGGCATAATTAAAGCCTAGGTATTCAATATAATTTGCCGATTAAAAGCACATTCTGGATTTGTTCGCATTAATGGTTGTCTTCAAGCCAAATTCTTAAACCACACTAATCACAACAAATACTGCAGCCTTGCATTGAATTGCCCAATCTATAGAGTCATTATTGTTCCATGCACCGTTTGCTATGATTCTATGCCAAACAGAGCTTGTTGTCGCTTTAATATACTACCTAGAGAAGGCATTGCGAAATCATATGTAGGCTGAACTGAAGGTAGCTCACTTAGGAAAATGAGTTGCTTTTAGCTTTTATGTCTTACAGTCGGCTGTGCTTTGCATTTTTCCTGGTCATGCTGCCCTGCAACTCGGCTGGTTTCAACTGAAACACTTTAACCTTTATCAGAATGTAGTCTGATTTCTTTTCAATGTTTCAGGTGGTACATTATCCGTGAATGCTGGAAACTGCTCCCCTCCGAACGTCCATCTATTGAACAATTGCGAAATGAACTGGAACAGTTTAAACTTACTGTAAACAACTATGTTTAATTTCTTTATATGTAGCAAAGCTATTATTCACAACTGTTTGCAATTCCTGCATTTTCTGTCTCAGTGTGCAGTTACCAGAACAGAAGCTGTCCGAAGCATATACGTCGTGCATTCGCGATATGAAGATATTGATACATCGTACCAAAAGCTACTTTACAGGAACTGTTCGTTCAATGTAAAGATTAATATAATGCCATTGTTTTTGTTTATAATTTCGCACAAAGTCCCCATCAATCCTTCATCCCGCATTTTCTTCTAATCACATGTGCCGGTACATTTATAAGTTTAAAGCTTACCAGTCATTTGTTTTTCTCAAAATTTGTTAGGTATGCGAATGACGGCGATTTGCTTTGGCAAAGGATAAGAGAAAATTTGTTGGGTCTAAATGTCGCTGTAAATGCTTAAAACGCCACTTGATTTAATAAAGAAGTTGCATTGTCATTATAACATTTGAACGAAGAGCTTCGTGTAGATCCTGCGAATCGCATTTCATATATGGTGAGGTAATACAAATACTTTATTTTAAGTTACATATCTAATGATGTTTAGGTAATGATTATGCCAATGAAGATTTATCCGCGCGTGTAAACGCGCGCGTTTGCAGCTGGGATAAAAATAGAGATTCAAAGACACAAGCTCCCACGGTTAGTTCAAACGCATACCAATATACAACGCTTTAAACTCCAGATTATTTGTAGGGAGTTCTAAATCTATTTAGATTAAATCTGCTGATTTTGCCTTCTGCTTAGCGTCTCGCAGCTTCGTCAAGACAGACATTTGCATGATCCGTTTGATTGGTACTTATGTATAACCCTCGAGTTTTGTCGCGAGGCCTTCTTCCAAATGACATGTACTTGAAGCACAGGTGCCTGTTATCAAGGTAAGCTTTGATAGCATATCATAATACACTAACACCGCGTCTCATTCATACATTATTGTGCTCCGGGTTAAAGTGCAGTAATATATTCCATATAATCAACCTGACAAATTGGAGCCATCTGTTTCAGTCATGGAATGCCGCTGGTGGAAGTCTCTTTTACACATATGTGTACACTTCAGACAACTAACTATAACAGTACTCATGTACCAGAGGGTTACCTTGGACCCGTGATGAAAAGCTGAACCGACATAGAGTATTAAATCTATATTGTCTGAAGTTTGCATGTGTACTCATTTGGTGGTATATGAGAGTAAACGGTCCTCAAAATGTTGTTCAACCTATGGAGTAGTTAGCATGCAGGAACTAGTCTATTAACCTCGAGTGACCTTCTAATACACTGGAAGAATGAAACCACCTAACGTTTCATAAAGACAACAACTGTTTAGCGTTCATTAGTTCAGAACATGATTCGTTGCAGTAAGTTCCGATGGGTATGAATATTTCATCACGCATGGAATAATCATCAATCGGTGACAGTGCAGAGCACCACACCTATTACGGATTAAGCTTGCATGCAACTTTGTCATTCCGTGTCTGCTTAGTAAAATACGTCACTAAAACTTCTGGGCAGTTTAGGCTTTACCCATTCTGTGTAGTCAGAAGCAACAAGATCTACGTCCAACTATTATATGTGTGCAATGTATTCGAATGCGTCTAAGTAGGTCAGGATGACGCGCATATGATTTATACAAAAGAGCTGCAGGTGGACATAACGGTAATTCAACAGGGTGTTTTAGCTGACCGTTTCACTAGTATGGTCTAAATGTAACACACGACCGTACGGTAAGCAGCGAAAACTAATACGGAATATTCAAAGTTGGACTTGGAGAATCCGCTGGTGGTTTGGTTGCTACGAGCAACCTTTATTGAGACCTCGGTTAACTTGTAGTGGACCTCGGTCATTCCGATCACAAAGACCTTAAGTAAAATAGAAACATTATAGCGTTGCTCATCCCAACACTGGCACCCGAAGACCGCGGTTTCGTCCTGGTTGGGACTTATCAGTTCGAGGTAGCCTGAGTTGCGTTGGAACTCAGAGCCTAGTGACTTATGGTTGACGCCAAATGCACTATGCCACTGAGATCCATTATACGGAATATGTATAACCAGCATTGAGTTTATGTAGAGAATAAGCCAACGGCGAATCGAGATGTATTTGACTGTATATCTATAGGCACCTTGGACGTTTGAGATTAAGACACTACAGCTTAATTTATTAATATAAGTAAAGGATGTCTGTTCGTCGTTGACGGACTTCAAAGTTTTGCGTATACGTTATTAAGCTAAAATAGTTAAAAAGTAGCATGATTATTTGAAAAGCTTATGGGCAATTTTTGATTGATATGAAGGTAATTACTCATTTTGGAAGTTAATTTTATCGGCTTACGACCTGCATAATGCCAAGAAATGTTATTCTGGTGTTAAGAATTCACGCATGCAAACGAGGTAAACTTTTAAGAGAAAGTTTAGTCTCTCATTCTTTAACCCCACGTACACATCAAGTGCATATATATATACCTAGAAAATGCCGAATTCTAAATTTTGTACAAATATACGTTTACTCTCATTTGTATAGTAGACATTTAAAGATCAAAATCATCAGTGCACTATGTAAGAAAATCCAATATATCAATATCGACACAAACAATAACATTCTAACTCAAAAATGTTACTTGTGTACGAAGGGATTAAACGATTTAAATTTCGGTTCCTGCTTAAATTGTTATTTCAGTAAAAGTAAGATGTCCAGTGCACCGTGAATCTCTACTTGTCTGCATAAATAAGTGTTCCTATAAATTTTTACCTTTACACGAATGGCAAATTTCACATATTTAACGGACAGGGATAAAACTATGTCATCGAAATTATTCCTAATAATTAAAAGCTTATCATAGAGAGCTTCATTTTGTTGAGTGAGTTGTCTGAAATTTCAGACAATGGTTTTCGTTTCAGATTTCAAATGATTCTCACTGTGATGAACGTGAGCATTGCATTTATTTTATGGGGCATTTTGACATTTAGATTTCATGAAACGAACTAAGTAAAATGTAAGTTGGGCCCTACTGGATAAGCGATAAATCAACGGAAACGGTCTCGGATATGATAAAAAGCTTGGAAATCATCAGAGAACAAGTTTCCACCGAATTCAACAATGAGCAAAAACGGAACTGGAATACAGTAAGCAAAAATATGTACCTTGAACATAAGTGCATCAAACGACAACAATAATCAAATATAGCTAACAAATTTGGCTTCAAGTCCACATAGTAACTCAACTCGTCTTAGTGCATTGTGCGTTAAAAGCAGGCTTACAGCACCAACCAGAAAGGACGACATCACAAGTCGTGGAATGGAAGGGTAATACGTTAGGTACAATGATATCAATAAGTAAACAATAAAAAATACGGGAAAAAACGGAATAAATATCAAATCAA